ACAATATTTTCTCTTTAATTTATTTATCTTATAGCTCCAAGTTCAGTAATGTCAATATCAACAATATATGTCCTAAGTTTATTATTTCATTTTCTGCATCATTTAAATCCGATGAACTTAATTTCTCAGATAAAAGATAACTAACGCTTTAATAAGATTTCGAGTTGTAAGAATCTGTTAAGTTATCTGTAAAGTTGTGTTAAAATACTATCTAAAGGTATAAAAACTGTCAATCCACTCTAACTTTCTATTTCTATGCAATCTACCTACCGTTGTGGTTGAATTAGTTATCTAAAGGCGCATTCCCACGGCGCAAGATTCGGTGTGCCTGATAAGGAATTTCGGTATATTGTACGTTCCGTGGGAACGCTCTTGCTCAGTTTTACTTAAAAAAAATTTTAAAACTAAATAAAATAAATTAAAAAAATTTATTTTTGACAGTTTCCTAAAATACTTGCGTTGACTTCAAGGGACAAGACCTTTGATATCTATAGACCATAGCCCTTTTATTAAGTCTTAAATTATATTTTCTTATACTTATAGTCTATTTATGGACTCTATATAGTTCGTGCCATGAAGACTAGAGCTATTTATATTTTTCATGGTTCGTGCTTTATACGATAATATCATTTTTCATATCACTATAGATCTATGTTTCCCAACATTTATGAAATTACGACCCACAAATTTACTATTTGTTGGTTATGCAACTAACCTATCCTCGCTAACACTAAAAAAAAAAAAAATGTGATAATATAGTATTAATAATCATAGTACTGAACTGCTTGATGGAACTGGATGACTGATACTACCGGCTCTGGTTTTACAAATAGCAAATGTAGTCATTAAAAAATTAATACTTAATATATAATAATTTGGGTATTTAAAAATGAAGGTCTAATCGTAAACAAGAATTGTTCATTTATACTTGCTCTAGAAGTCTTGATGTACTACTAATTGTTCAACTGGACAGTCGACTAACCGTATCGCAGTAGGGAGGGCTAGAGCCCCAGGGCCCGTACGTCCGAGATGGCCTGACGTTTCGGCCATTTATACAATGTTTTTGTTGTACCAAAGGATATACCTACAAGCATAGATGTGTCCATGGAGGTAGCAGCAGTGGCGTAGCCAGGATTTTTAAATGGGGGGTGGGGCTAACCACTTTTTTGGATAAGTAAGGTAAGAGAGGATATGATAATTCACCCTGAACCCCCCCCCACCATCTACCACCAAGTTTCTAAACGTAATTCAAGCATTTTAGTATAGTTTTAAAATATTTATTAATATATAATTTATAATAATAATAATAATTTTGGTTTCAGTGTTCAGTCACTTGCTCCACTCTGACAGCTACATCCTCTTAGGCGAATTTCCGGCAAATTATTATTATTTCACTTTCATCGAATTGCTCTTTTTTATTTATATTAGATAACCCATTCAGTTTGTTTTCCGACATGGTGCTTCTTAAAAAAATTTTTAAGCGATTAAATGCTGAAAACGTTCTTTTCGGAGTGAAAGAGGTAACTGGTAACGTGGCGAATAATTGTAAAAGTATTTTAATGTTAGGTCGAAGATTGGTGCGATGAGAGAGTGAATCAAAAGCAGAATTCGGTTTTGGAATAGTATTTTGACTCCATTGTTGCCTCCATATGAACAGGTCAGCTCTGATTGTAGATGAGGTATCATCATGAAGATCTTGGACATATATTTTAGCAGATTTTATAATATTTTTATTGTCATACATATTTAACTTGGCCGGAATAAGTCCTTCAAGTGGCATAACATCAATAAGTCTTTGATTAAAACGAGCATCCATTGATTCTATTAAATAGTCAAGATACATTATACATATAAACACGGCCCATGGGGGGGCTATAGCCTCCTTAGCCCCCTCCCCTTGGCTACGCCACTGGGTAGCAGTGTATGCACTTGCACTCTCCCCCTCCCCCAAAGATGTAGCGACCACTGATACAAGACCATACCAACTTTTTGCAAAACCAACGTGAATCCGCATAATTATCTATTATAATGTATATGAATATAATAATAACACGAGTATCCTGTAATCATTTACCTATATCACTATTACGAATAATGATATAATGGTCGCTCACATGAAATATCTCGTCGGATACGTTAAGATAGCGAAATGGATGTGTTTAAAAGGTCTATTAGAAAAAGTCCTGGAATTGTTTTATTTTTATTTTTTTGTGTACGCTCGTTTAATGAAATACCGGTTAAACTATACTCGGGCAACCTCATTGATTTCGTAAGAATTATTATGGTTTGAGTTGTACTCTCTTTGAAAAAAGTCTTGACACGCCTATGCCTACAAATGGTCTTGGTGCGTCTTGGTCAAACAATTGCAAAGGGAATGGGATTCGAAATCCCCGCAGCCCCGGGGCCCTCAAAAGATCTCGCCGGCTCTGATTACAGTTACAGGGAGGTGTATGGAAATACACAAATATTTTACACTCGAGTGATGCCATTTAATACAGCTACTATAGTATAAAAATGGAAATCATCTAATTAATTTCTTTATTTAAATTTATAATCTTAATACCTCTATACTTTTATTAGTTTAATATTATCAGGAGCGTATTTTAAGGGGGGTCGAAGGGGGTGATCGTCCCCCTGAATCCGTATTTAAGGAATCGATAATATGTGAGATAAACATTTCAATTATTTTTAATATGGATCATTTTATAACGAAATAAAATTACGCGTGGCTGTGAATATTGAATTGAGCTTTTTTTCGGGTCTATACGTAGTGAAAAATCAAATAAAACTATAAATAAGAACTATTAATAAGAACTACACAAAAGTTGATTCTAAGTGGATTCAGGATTAGATTAAAAAAAAAAACGACAATTATTAAGGATTCACCTGATTTAAATATTACCAAAAATTTTACTTGTAAATTTTGAGCCTAAATTAAAGAAAAAATTTGAGTCCCCCCCCCCCTAGAATTAAGTCTAAATACGCCCCTAAATATAATATTGAAGGGATTAAAGATGTTTCTCATAATCTCAAATTTAGCTTCATCACTTAGAATTTAAAATTATATTAAATATTCGATTAGATGGAGAGAGAGGGGGAATAAGTGTGGGCCACTCAAGAAAAATGTTGGTGATAGTTAGACCTACTTATATGATATAGTTTAACATTTTTTTTCTCATATTATGTTGTTTACTAAAATTGTAAAATGTATGTTGATAAACGTTTGAATGTACTTCGTGGATTAATTATTTAAATAATAATTACTTAACACTTTTAGTTTCTTAATTATTGAGGAAATAATATTGATATAATAACACATATACAGTTTACATTAAAAAAAATTATAACAAAAATAATACTCTATTGATTCTAGTTTATGTTATTTATTTTATCAGTAATAATAGTTATATTTCGTTTATACAAATTGAAAACTTTGTACTTATAGGCTGCATAAAAATGAAACATTGATATATTTAGATTATGTTATTCTGGGCTATTATAAAACTAAATTATATTGGATGTTGTACTTGTTACCTTTTTTACAACAATAATATCAATAGTGCTCACATTTTGAATGCATGAGTATATGAAAGATAACTGTTAATACAACAGTTTTTTGATTTGATCAAATATTTTGTATCATTTAATTTTGGCTTATATTAAATAAAATATAAAAAAAAGTATTTTCTTATAAGACCGGCAATACACGGGCAATATTTTACTGCGCATTATAGACATCGAAAAACATACAAGTGTTATTTTACCGTACAATATTTTTCATGTTAGCGATTTGAACCAAAACTTCTCAATGTATGATATATATCAACGATGGCGGACAAGAATTCAGATCCTCAAATGCTGGTTTCATTTTACAAAATGTGTCTCTTCAGCATTTCCTTCTTTCGATTCGGTTTGAGTGAGAATTTATTGTCTTGTCTCATAATAATGACATTTCTTCTATTGACGTTATTAACCGATCAACATTTCAAATATCTTCGTAGATAATTTGAGTGTTTTCATTTGTTAAATCCATGTTAAAATGTATCGACATGTTTACAGAAAAGCAAGTTACACAACAATAACTACGTTTTGAGTGAAAAATAACATTCTATCGTGTGGTTAAGTCATGTTGCACGTGACAGTTTTTGAAATGTCGCGCATTAATTTTGCGGCACAATATTCATATGTTGTGCTTTAATCATTTAAAAATTGTAAAATTACGACACGGTTAAGATGTCGTGCTGTAAAATATCACCGGCGTGTTGCCGACCTAATTCTTTGAGAATACCTAGTAAAAGTGGAATAAACTATTTCATAGTAAAACCTATTTTTATGTAGGCATGTATATATTTAATCCTGTGAGTCGATTAATACATCAAAATTTATTAAAAAAATATAGACGTATAATAGAGACTTATAGATGTGTCAAAATAATGAAACCAAAATTAGGTTGTTTATAAAAGCCTTCAGTTAGTAGTTACATCTCAGTCTTCTATATTTAAAAATTCTAAGATCATGTTTGACAGTTGCCCACTTTTTCCTATCTCCTGTTTTAATAGTAATACGTATATTACTACTATATTGTAGTAAACGGATATGAATTTATTATATATGTATGTATCTCTGTACAGTTAAACACTAGTATCAACGTTATTAGTTACAACATTTAAATATTTTATTCTATTTCTTCAAATTTTAAAGTAAGTTGATTGAGAAGTCATTATTAAATTATTGACCATTTTAGTAATCATAAGTATAATATGTATATAACTCATACAATACATGTCAATGGAAATCTAGAATAAAATAAAAATTAATTGTAAGTTGTTTTCAATATTGAATAATTTTTTTATTTATTATACTTGCATAAATAGTAATAATGGTATTATACTTGTAAATGGTTATTTTCGAAAGTTATACATTTCAATAACATTAAACGAAGAAACTATGAACATCTAAATGCTCATGCTGGGGTTAATTAGATATAAATTACATGGTAATTTGCAGTTCATATACATTGATTCTATAATTATGTATAATAAACAATAGTAGTGTATCGATGTACAGATTTTGACTGATATATCTTATATTTTAGAATATCAAATCAATTGTTCTAATTTTGATAGAAGAATGGTTTGAAGGTATACTAAAACACCGGCAAATCAGCAGCAGCTATTAAATTTGAAAATGCTATCCGTTTTCCTTCTTTATTATAATTACTTGGTAAAATAATCTAAAACAATTACAATTAGATAAATTACTAATATTAAACTATAACTAAATTTATGCATATAGTTTATATTAGCATATGCCAGTGGCGTCTCTAGACCTTTTTTATATTGGGGGAGGGAGGGCGAGATTTATAGAGGTATTTGCACATCAGTGTAGTTTCCTACTGAAATATAAATAATAAATATAAAAAATTTAAAGAAAAAAGACCAAAGTGGAGTGACTGAGGGTACCCTTCCCCGAGGACGCCCCTGTAATATGTATGTAGTTTATAGAAACAAACCGGCTGCAGTGTAAAGTTCATTATTTTGGCTTCGTTATGGTGTTTATTTTCGACAGTAACCAATTTAGTGGAAGATAAATATCCATCTAAAGAAGCGGTAACTTGGTAATCACCGTTTGTAAGAAGTCTATAGTAGTCACCGTCTTGCACTAAAATTAAACAAATAATATTTAATCAAAAAAATTATTAATCATCATAAACACATTTATAAGTGTCTTAATTGTATTAATTTATACCAGATGTAACGTCGTGTAAGATTGGTGACATTATGCCGTTAGTTACGTTAACCACTTTTATAAATGCATTTGCTAATGGTTTCAATGTAATCGCGTCTTGAACGAAACCTTTAATTCCTATGTGTGACTAGAACATTTAAAAATATATTATAATCAAATAATCAAAAGTCAAAATAATTTATTAAAAAACTACACCAATATCATTAATATTAATCAGTATTTATACTAATAAATTATTAGTATAAATAAAAATCAATTATTAATAATAATAATTTTTTTATTTCAAAATCAAGTGTTATACAATATTTTTATAGTTTTTGGGTTAAACTGTATTTAGTTAAATTAACATTTATTTGCGAAAATTTAAAAATTAGTTTTTAATAGCTAGTCTAAAGCAAACTAATACATTTTATCAAGAAATAATAATCATATAATGATATATATATATATTATATATCATATAATAATCAGTATAAAATAAGTACCTTATATCAATAACTAATTCATATTCTTTAATTTTTTTTCATGGTATTTGGTAGAGATGTTTTAGTTTAGAATTAAGAACTTAATTTTATTTCTTAAAAAAAAAAAAACTCAATTTTATAATAATCAGCAATCTGAGGTAACTAAACATGTTATGATACATTTTTAGTTTATTTTATTGTATTTGTATTATTTTTAAAATTCCATAAAATAATTAACAAATAAATACTAAGAAATTAACGCTTGACAATAGAAAGAAAATAACAAACCATATTTTTTGTGTTCAAAGATCTAATCAACTATCTATTTTATTCATCAGTAAATTACATGATCAAATAATTAAAAAGGAAATAACCGTAAATTATGTATATAACTATTAAAACATATATGTTGACATACTTGCCATATCAAGTTTATGAGTGCATTTTTGTTTCTGTTCCACTCTTTTTCTAATTCGCTCTGTTTCGTATATTTATCACATCCTAGTTCTAAGGTTATTTCAAAATCATTGGAAGACAAATAGTTAAAATCTTGCATACCTAAAATACAACTTAAATGTTACACTTTTATTATATTAAACGTAATTTTTACATTTTGTATATTTCTGATTATAGGGAGGATCCATTTTTTTTTTAAGATACACATTTACCGGTATTCGTCAATTGCACCGACTTTGGGACACAATCTTTATAGTATATATCTGTTGGCCCAGTATAAAAAGGGTATATTAAAAAGGTAAACATCTATTGCTCTAGTATGGAAAAGGTATATTTAAAATGTATACATCTATTGCTCCAGTATAACAACTATAAAGTACAAGTAAAAATCACAATGGCTAAAAGCAAAAATTAAAATTAAGATCAAACTTATCATTCTACGTACTTGATATTTACACTAATTATACAAATTTTGAAAATTTAAGAACTTGTCTAATATTAAAATTAGTAATGTCTATTTTACTATTTATTTTTTTGTCATAAATTTAGAGTTTGGTCTATTTGTGATAACTAAAAGAACACGTATTATGATTGTTGCGTTACATTATTTTTAAAACTTCATAAAAAGCAAAAATATTTAGATGCGGTGAATAAAAATATATCCCAAACGCTGAGTGAAATGCCTTACAGGCACTTGTTGTTCTTTTGCCTAATATGTTACACGATGACCAGATAAGGGGGAAAAGTAACATTTTCATCAATATATGTATCAATGAGATGATCGCAAAATGTATTAACTCGAATATCGATCGGCCCAATAGATATATACCTTTTTTCCATCCCATAATTTTTCTTTCTTTACCTGCGATTTTCGGCGCAATTGATATAAAGCCACATTTACACATATCAATGTCAATTGACATGTTTATCTGCGTACACCTGATTTAACATATCTCTAAAACTCAAAATTAATTTACATAATCATGGTCGTGTTTTAAATACTTAAAGGGGAGAGAAAGTTTTTGGTTTTCAAATAATGTATTTTTGTAGTTGTAATATTTTTTTTAATGCTTGACGTGATTATTATTTTTTTTTTTTTACTTTTTTTTAGTCTTTGTAGACAAAAAATAAGTTGTACTTTGGGAACTTTTTAGTTTTGTTATTATCTAAAATATGTAAAATATCTAACATTTTAAATAAAATAATCAGTCGTTATTAAACCTGATTATATGTTAATTAATAATAATACTAAAATTTATAAAAATGTATTAATACTAATCGTATTTAAGTAATTTATTTCATTATTATAAGTATCTATATGAACAAAAATAACATGATACATGAATATCCTTTTAATTTTCTAGTATATGATATAATTCACAATTTAATCGAAAACTAAAAATGTCCTTTGAATGAAATATTCTAAATTTTACAAGTAGTATTTAGTTTTTAGTATTGCATATTTAAAAATCTCCTACTAATCTAAATTAATTTGTAAATTTCTTAGGATCATAGATTTTTTAATCGAAATATACTAAATATTTAATAAGTACTATTATACGAGTATGTTTTAATAAAAACACGCATATTAAGAAATATAAAAATAATTAAATCATACCTCCTCTAACGCTGTACCATTTGGCACCGTTGGTTATACCGCCTTCTTTGCCAAAATTTTTATCACCTCCTCTACATGGCATTCTATTTGGATTTGCCATATCTGCGTGGTAATCAGCATAGGACAAAGCTAACCATCTAAAAATAATATTTAAATACATAATAAATTTCGATTTTTCAATAAGTACACTAGTTTAATATTGAAATATTATTTAAAAGCATTACTTAAAAGTATTGTCATCAGGACTTGTAGCATATTCGCCTTGTACATTTCCATATCTACTAGCATCGTATGGATAGTTAGCTACTAAATCACCTCCATGAAGATTAGCAGATGCTACAAACGGTATGGACATAATCATTTGCATTACAGCCTTGGTTTCTGGTTGTATCTATGTATGCGGGTGCAAGTATAAAAACTCATTAAATATCCCATTATATTTGACACAATTAAAAATAATATATTTTTCTTATTTTATTTTACTGTAAATTTTATTATTAATAAATACATTAAAACAAGAAAAATGATTTAGTTCATGTTAAACTTATAATTTTTTGTATTTACCTAACTAGTATTTAAATAATTTTAAATATTAGATTTTTATAAAATTATTATAATATGTATAATATTTGAAACGAAAATAAATGTATTACCGGTTGTGACAAATGATCCACCATTTGCATCAAATGATTATTAACATCGTTGTAATATGCTTCATTATCAAAAACAATTCTATCTAAATCTGGAAAATTTCTATTTAAGTCTACACCGTCTGCATTATCTCTTCCTATTAAATAATTGCTTCCTCCCTGTACAGATAAATTGTAAATTTTTTTTATAGAATATTTAAATTAGTAACATTAAATCATACATCATCTGTTGATCTTTGCCATCCGTCAGGATTCATTGATGGCATTAGGTGAATTCTAGTTTTAGTAATGAGTTTTACAATTTCTTCGTTTCCTGCTTTATATTCTTCACAAAGATGATCTGCAAGTTTCAACAATAATTCTCTTCCAAGGACTTCATTGCCATGCATATTAGCTATGTATTTAAACTCAGGATCCACTGAAAAAATATTAAAATTATAATAATATGTTGGGGAATTTCATAATATATTTTTGTGCTACTAAAAACTAATATATATATTAATGTCCAAATTATGATACAATTAAATAATTACTTACTTGGTTTATGCTCAGTTGGGTGGACTGAAAATACAATGACAAGTAGTGGACGACCTTCCACGCTGTTTTCTGATAATCTGTAAATACTGGTGATACTTGGACATTTTTCATGTACCTCCAACATGGTATCGTACATTTGTTCATTGTTGTGGTGATGAAATTGAAATACCTTTTGTTCAATCGAATTTACGTTTAACGCTGAAGTAACTAAATACAATATAGCCCATAACGACATTGGTAATCTGGAAAATAATTGTTTTTATTTATATTCTGTAAATGTAAAACTAATTATAGATTTATCTAAAAATCATTATTATATAATATTAAATAAATACCTGAATATTTGTATTCGTTTATTAATCATGGTACTTTGTCAATAAGACATAATATTAAATCAAAAAATAATTGTAATTATTACTACTTTTGAGTGTAATGTACTAATACAGTAGCTATAGATAACTTATTGTAACGTCCAGCTGGCTATAACAGAATGGCAACACAAGTTCATAGTCTGAGCATGCTCAAAACGTGTACGGCAAAACCATCCCACCCACCAGGACTTCTGTTTATTGATTTCATGCTGCATTACGTCAAAACCTGTGGCAATTTTTTTTTTATTCTTTAACGGTTAATAATCAACATAGTTTAAAATTTTAGTTTCGTTCCAGCATTATAATATGATTAAACACTCATTAAGAAACTATTATATTTTTTAATAACTTACATAATTATCACTTTGTTACCTTTCACGAAATATTTTTAAATAAGAATACTTGATAATCAATTATTTTATAAAATCATTATCTTTATGATATAACTTACCCTTTACACTTGATACCTATACCCATGTTGCATTAAAATATGTTATTTTATATCTATAAAAATAAAAACTATAAGTACTTAACGACCAATTTTGAGTTCAGAATTATTGAAACATGAACAGAAGTATAGTACAAGTATAGTAACAGAAGTATTAATGTGTACATTTACTACGTATGCTAATTAGTAGAACACGCAAAACTTTGACAGTTCTTTGATATTAAATTATTTGTTTCAATTTACTGACGTATAGGTAATGAACAAATAACAAGTTAAACGAGTAGCTTTGAAATACAAAATATTATTTACAATTATGATTAGGTAGTAATTTCAAGGTTATTAAAATAAAAAGTTAAACAATATTTGTGCTTCCTTTATATATAATCGTAATCATATAACATTTAAAGTATAGGAAATAAATTATCTTTTTTCTTAATAACAATTTCCGTATTGCTATTTATTTGGTAAAGTATACTTAAAATAAAAATAAAATATTCTTGCATTTTGTGTATTGCAATGTATATAATACAACATACTCGTAAATTGACAGAATATTTTAACATTTAATATAAATTGTTTAGTAAAAAGTTAACAACAAAATCTTGAAAAAATTATTGTTTTATTTTTCCAGTCTTAGGGCTGATCATTAGTTCTATAATGACAAGCCAATTGGGATTTTTCAAAATATGGTTTTAGATTACCTCACTGGTAGAAACGTTTTCGAGAATAAATACATCATTAAACCAAATAATAAACATTAACAAACAAAATAAACATTTTATATTTTAATAGCTAGATACACTTGCCACTTAATTATCGCAATCTTTATATGTAATTTACCAAAACTTACAATGTTTACTAACATACATCATATATGTTTATCATGCCTATGGAAACATGTGTTTATAAACTTAACTCATATTATTGCATTAGTTTAAAATACTATTAGAAAATTGTTTTGGCAACATATAAATGATAATCAACAACTTTTTTTATTTTATTCATATTTCAAATAAATTCCTTCCGTTATAAGCCCATATAATAGTTATAGAGTTTTGTGTACCTAAAATATGGTTCAATAGTATATAGTTACTTTGACTAATCGAGTAATTATTTATTTTTTAAAGATGGTGTTTCTGCAATTTTAGAAATATGTTATCATACTTCAATTTAGCTCACAAATTAAGGAAGACATTTCTTCAAATTCTAAAAATAAATTAACTATTTTTATAAAAATTATTGAATTGGAAAATTTTTTTATTTTAGATGAAAACCAAGTGTTTTTTTATTCTTTGGCACATTCCAGTATCCCAGTATCTAATGAAATTATCAATGTGCTTCACTCCTTGTAAAAACATTTTAATAAGAATAAATTTACTAATTTGATAAGTATTTAAATTTTATGTTTTTGTACACAAATATTAATTTTGTGGTAAAAAAAATGTTGTATATCTAGGTATAGTTTAAAATTGAAAGTTATTTTTTTATAATATGAAGAAATGAATTTGTTCCATTATATGAACTAGAAGCAAGTAATACATAAAGAAGTAAATATGAACACAAACAAATTAATATAAAAAAATCTTTTTAATTCATAAATAGACACTGATGTTTAATGTAGAGACTAATTATTATTATTAGATATCTTATATCAATACACAACTTTATTTTATTTTATTAAAACATTTATAATTCGTTAACTTGCAAACTACAGTTTTTTCATATTAAATATAATAATTATGATTTTAAAATATTGCTACAACAATTTTTACTACCATAATTATTTTTAGCTCTTAAAATAAACTCTATATGACTATATAATGGTCTACACATGGGTAAATTAATAGCATAACATTCTTAATGTTAGACAGGTAAATTTATATGATTTCAAAATTAAAACAAGACATTATTGTTTACGTAACAGGTATTAATTAAAAATAAAAATAACCAGTTGGCTATTTTTATTTTTACATCATATTACCGGTCATCATATTTATTTATTAAATATGGTCATTTTAGTTATAATATTCACTTATGCATTTTTATATTTGTATAACAAATACATATTATTTTCATGCAATACAATAACTCTAATATACTTGTTTTATTTTTTAGCTTATTTGTTAGTTATAGTTAGTTATTTTTGAGTCTTTGATGTTTGGTGGCTTAGTATGTTCTCCCAATCATTATTATTATATTACGGATACATATCCGTAAAATATTAATTTGTTTCCAACTTTATATTTCTATTTTGCAATTTTGAAATTTTTATTTTCAACTCTCAATCGACTCGCAGAAAAAATTTTTTTGAATTTTTATTTTTATAAAAACTTATATTATAAATTAAGTTGTTATGAACATTTTAATTTATTGCAATTAAAGATATAACAATTACTTTCATACTTATAGGCTATAGGTAATTACATTTTAAAAAGACGGAAAAAATAAATCATATAATGGCTAGATATATAGTTATAAATTAATATTAATTAGACTTTTTAACAGCGGAAGCTATATTATTAGGTATACCACCATTTATTCGTCACTACTCACTGGCATAATGAGATACTGCTGGTCATACAAATATACAAAGTTAACAAACCCATCAATATAACTAGGAAGAGATAACAATTATCTATATTACACTAATTTATTGTACTTAATAGCTATAATACCTAACCACATATGTGTTTCTTTTTCAAAACTTACAATAGTTATACATATGAAACCATTATTGCGATTTTTTAAGATTTATATAGTAACACTATGTTTCATAAAACAAATCTTTCCCCATTTAATCGAAATTAAAAATTTTAAAGTTCTAAGGCGGGTTAAGAATGAAAATATGAATTTACTATTACGCTCTTAAATTGATTCACCATAAAATTATACTAGAACAAAAAAAATATAAAAAAAATATAAAAAAATGTATATTCACGGAGATGTTTCCATCGATAATATATCTAAGGCTAGAGCTACCAAGATAATATAGATCTTACTAAAATTATTTTAGTAAGTTAGATATTAAGTTCCATCCACACTAAAGTGAAAACTAGCAACACGAATGTTGCCAACGTTTTTGTTCGCTCGAAACAATCTGTGACATTTTTAAACATACCATACACACCAAAGCAATAAATTTAAGACAACATTGATATAGCGACACATTGGTTAGTGTTCCTTGTGAGTCAAGTTGTAATGAAGTGTCTACACATACGGAACAAGTAACAAAATTCAATAGAAGAGAAGATTATAGAAATATATAGAAACACGCAGCGACATAGTCGGTAAAATATGTTGCAAGACACGTGTGGTGTAGACGGAACTTTATGTATTGTACAGTATGGAGCATATATAACCAAGTCAGCAAAAATTGTATAATAGGCAACTAAACATTCATTATTACTAAAACATAATTTATACGTATTATAAAGCTCCGGATACACATGTGCGAGCCGACAGGTTCGTCAGTTTACAACTATTTTCGGAATTTATTTTTATTAATTTCGTTCGGTTTTGCTTACATTTATATATTACTAATTTATTAATTTATATATTATTTAAATTTGCTAAGTATTTAAATTGCTTTAATTTTATTATGGAGCGGTCAGAGGAAAAAAATTATTCTTCAAGTTGATATTTGTAAAAGTAAACCTTCATTGTGGGATCCTAAACCTAAGGCTCCGTACCATTTATTTTTTTGTACAACTCAGCATGCCACCAACGTTGTTGTTTTCGCTGTATTTCTGATTTTTCATTCAAACAGGTCATCAATATGGTCACACTACTCATTACCAGCAACCAATAATCCTCGGAAGACATTATGCTAGTAGACAAGTATGAACGCCACTGCAAGTAGTTCGGCATGGGTTTGTTGTCAGTATTGATTCACGAGAGGATCGCAAGTATATACGTGGCATTAACGAACATGACACGACCCTTCACGAGCGGTTCGCGGTAAGTTCGGCTTGCATATTTATACAAAGCTTAAGAGGTGGGTGTATGGTTGTTGCCTGTCTACAACATCTTCTGACTTAGTCTTCCTGAGCTAAGGGTGAGGACTAAGGAGACTATAGACCCCTTCATGGATCGTGTTTACGTGTATGTACCATACTAGTATAATACTGTTTGGTATTTAAGTATTAACTTTTGGTACAAACTAATAATTGACGAAAAACGGATATTCATCTTTGTTACACAAGCGTATTACTTTTACCATGATTATCACTGTTTTTTTGGTGGTTATTATGAAGGTTGAGGCGACTCTCATCCAGTTTTGGCATATTCAGGCATAACTGAAGCAGCTGCGTCTTAGCTCAAATGGGGCGGGTTGGTAGTGTTGTGTGACAGAAATGCTTATAACATAATTTACAAATTTGTTATAAAATATTATTTTGTTTGGATTCACTAATTTTAATATTTACTCTGAATCTAAAACCTTGGGTTAAATACTCAATGCACGTAACTGCTTCATTGAAAAATAAACTACGCGCCGCCCCTGCTTTCGCTTTTTCATTTTATAATCACTATAGTTTTATACCATATTACGTCGCGACGATGCTAACACAGCTGGCTTCCATTCATTTTTTATTATTATTTATTTGTTGAATCAGAATATAAAAAAAAGTTTCACATTTTTAAATATAGAATCATTATAATTATCTATCTATTATAAACTATTTTTGAGT